GGGGGGGGTTTGGCAGGTAGGGAGAGGAATGGGATTCTCAGGATTGGGGGATGGTTAGGAAGGAAGGGGATGAGGGTGCAAGTCACCCGATTTCCCGCCCGTGTTCTCATCATGTGTGTTGTTTCTTTCAGAGTCACTGGTGGCGAGCTCTTTGACCGCATCGTCCAGAAGGGCTCATATACTGAAAAAGATGCTTCTGATCTAATTCGACAAGTACTGGAAGCTGTAGATTATATGCACCAACAAGGCGTGGTCCATCGGGATCTCAAGGTGCTCATTTACTTTATTGTTATTTAATTGACATCAGTTAATTATCCCCTTGTGGGGAAAGTTGCTGATTATGTGTGTTGCCTACAACTCACATAGAATTCTGTTTCAGCCTGAAAACCTCTTGTACTACAGTCCAGATGAAGATTCTAAGATTATGATAAGTGACTTTGGCCTATCAAAAATGGAAGATTCTGGCATCATGGCAACTGCATGTGGAACGCCAGGATATGTTGGTCAGTACAGATTTCCGAAAAAGAAACAAAAATTATTACCTATTAACAATAACAAGTTGTGATTAAAAATTCACTATCTATTTTTCAGCCCCTGAGGTTCTTGCTCAGAAACCATATGGTAAAGCAGTGGATGTATGGAGCATAGGTGTTATTTCATACATATTGCTCTGTGGTTACCCTCCATTCTATGATGAAAATGATGCCAATTTATTTGCCCAAATTTTGAAAGGTACTGTATGACAAGTATTTAAATTTCTTTATGACTCTCTGGTGCATTTAAATATTGTGTACTCTATTTTGTCAGGTGATTTTGAGTTCGATTCTCCCTACTGGGATGAAATCAGTGACTCTGCAAAAGATTTTATTCGACAATTAATGTGTGTTGATGTAGAAAAGAGGTATACTTGTCGGCAAGCATTGCAACACCCATGGTGAGTTAATTAACATGTTTATTTTTAATGTTTCCTATGATATGTACTTTTTCATTTATAAAATTAATTGTTTGTTTATATCAGGATTTCTGGCAATGCTGCTAGCAACAAGAATATCCATGGAACTGTATCAGAACAGCTCAAGAAGAACTTTGCAAAGTCACGCTGGAAGGTAATGCCCTTAACAGACAGATAGTTTAAAGAGTGCTGTTTTCTTGATGTCCAAGAACCTTTGGAAACATCTATAGAGTCCTCCTACCTCATACCATTGTCCATGTCATCCTCATTTCGTCTTTTGGTGTCTGAATTCTCTCTTGGATTCTCACTTAAAAATATTTCTGATCAAAGTATCTTTTATCTTACTATTGTGTGCCCCATACTTAAATGTTTCCTAAATACCTTTTGATGTGGAGACTGCTTTGGTGATGTTTGGATGAGGTTTATCTTCCCTATGTGCATGTTTCCCCAACATCAATCAAAACTTTTCCATAAATTGTGCAATGTGGTATTATCAAAACTGGTTTTACTTGTAGTCACAGAGGTCTCAATCAAGCAGTTTTTGTGTTTCTATAAGTTACTCAACATCTGCTTTGTCTTCCAATCTGGTTCTGGGCTGCTAATGTCTTCAGAATGACGTTTGGTTTTAAGGCTTCAGTATGTATAAATTATGGTGGTGGTCTTAACAAATATAAATCTCTTACAGCAACTGATGAACGCCATAGCCATGGTGCACAAGATGCAGAGATTAGCTCTGACCAATAACACTAGTAGCATGGATGTAGACGAAGCCCAAAGGTGTGACACCATTCAGGAGGAGACGGAGGATGGGGATGAAGGTACAGCGCTCTGCACGCCCTTCATCGAGTAGCTATTCTCCCCTGCTCGTTGATGTTGTGAAGTGGTTTTCTGCTAAATACCAGCAAAGCTTGTCAACCCATTTTTCTGATACTGCTCCCCTTTTAGTTTTATTTGACTTTTTTTTTAAATAAGAAAATATAATGGTAACAGTAGGGAAATATTTAGTATTTTAGAAGATTTTTCAGAATGAATGGGTTGAAGGTTTGCAGATAGCAAAGCAGCATTCTGGAGCACAAACCCAGTATAGAGTAGAATGCACTGGAAAGGATAATAGAGGCTAAGGCTAAGAAATAAAAGTTGGATCAAGGGGCTGCTACATCTGGCAACACGTAATGCTGGACTAAATACAAAATCAGAGCAAAAGCAAAACTGCACTAGCAACCATAAGCATCTACATATGCCATCTGCACAGTTTCTTAAATGCCTCCTGGTCCACTGCTTAAGTCATATCAGTGGGCTGTTCTAGTGCTGGTTCGTTGGGGTGATATTGTATGTAACTGTAAACATGCCACTGGAAGAAGCGTTCATCTTTATTTATGATTTTTTTTTTTACAGTGAATGTGCTTTGTGTGTTTCTCAGCTCAATATACCTACCTGCTGCGCCTGAGGCAAATATTGTAGTGGTGTTTTGTGTGTAGGAACAAACAACATTTTCGCGAAAGTTTCAATGGCTAAGCATTGTTTTCGTTCTATTAGTTCTGTTTGTTTTTTGTTCTTTTAGTTTAGTGATTCATTTTGAACCTTGACTGGTTGGTGTTTTGCGGACCTACTCTGGTTCACATACATTATTATTCCTTCCCTCTCTTTTCCTCTAAAGACTTACATGTAGTCTGTATTATAAAATATTATTGTATGGTTTTTGTTTTTGCAAGTTTGTAAGTATTGGTGTTTTCTTCCCTGTATAGTTTTACAAGGTGGCATGTAAGTGGAATGCTGACAGCAGATAACTTATAGGTATATTTTTGGAGATCCAGTTTATCACAAAGTGTATACTAATTTTTCAGCAGTGCATTCATTAATTGCTGCTGTATATGTTTGCATGGAAGTTGCTGTAGTAGTAGTTAAGTTGCTTTGTGTGTCACAATATCATCTCCTCATACATTTTTTCATTCTTTTGACTTTTTAAATTTTTCTGCTTTACAAAATATAAAATTAGGGATGTTAAAAATTGGCTATTCTATTCCTCATGCCTTCTTTTTAAAACTCTTTCCCTTACCGTAAAATATTGTCAGCCATTGCCTATTTCTCCCCATTTGATGCCATTTACTCTACAAAGCAAATCGTTTTCATTACTACGGCATTTCTCATGACACTTCACCTTAAGCACCAAATCAGAAACTCATTACTTAACCAAATTTCTACAAAAATAATTTTGTGTTGCAGCAAGCATACCACGCAGCCACCGTGATACATCAAATGAAGCGCATGGCTCTAAGCAGTAGCACTGGCGGTGCGGCCGTAGCTGTGGCCGGCCCCAACTCCGAAGAACCTCGACGCAGCCCGCCGCCGAGTGCACGTTCCAACCGCGCCAGCAAGCCCTAGTCTTCACTGACCAGCTGCTGACCAAGACACGCCTGGCCTGCCACCCACCTATGTCTTCGTGTTTATCTGACAAAGCTTTGCACACGATTATGCCATGTATGTGCTCGAAGCTGCAATTAATTTTCGTTATAGGGTATTATCTGAGACACACTACTTATTGTAAGCAAGGCCAAAATGAGCAATACTTTTTATTACATTTGTGGATGTGGGATCAGTTGAGATGCGAGTTCATTAGTTTTTCGCAAGTAGCTTTTGGAATCATTCTGATCTATGCAACTTAAGGATTTCAATCATGTTCAAGATGTATCATTTATATTTTGGTGCAATGATTGTGATTTGTAAATTTACAGTGTCATGTATCAGCCCTTGACTAGGCATTCAGTAGCAATTGCTCAATTGAATTGTTGATATGATGTTCTTTGTAGAAACTGCTACCGTGAATCACATTACATCTATTTTTCTCTAATCTCTGTTATCTAGAAAGTTTCTGTCATAATAATGTAGAAAGAGTCTTCAACTATAAAGCTATCAGGGCTTTAACATATCAGGCAACATTAGGTGGGTGATTGAGCTAAACTTACATCTATCAATTTTCAAGTGAGTATTGGTTTTGCAAATATCATGTGGAATGTAGCAACTAGTCCTTGGTTTGGTACACATTCAATCTTAATCCACCATTTTTGAAAGTCAGTTTTAAATATGTTTTAAATCCATCTTTTCTACCTATGTTGTAGAAATGAGAGAGATGTGTCTCTTTCTTTGAAGGCCTATGTAGAAATCTTTTTCATGTGTGGAATTTTGTAATGAGTGCTGGTGTGGTTTGCCTTTGTGGCCTGCACTATGGGGGTACTTTGATGACCAGGTGCTAGTAGACATAGTCTCTTGATAAGTTGTCAGTGGAATGTACTCCTTGCCTTATGTAGTTGAGAAGCCGTCTGGTTTTAATTTTTGATTAATCTTATCATTGTAATATCAAATATTCTGGTATCATTCTCTTGTGATAATTGGTTGTGCAGTTTGAATTACCCACATTGTTTTCATCTTGTTGGAAATGTATTGGCTTCGGCTTACATTGAAGAGTATGTTTCAATATTTATGCTGGAAGTTGTCAAGACAATAACTTTGACATTTTCTAGCTGGCTCTTTCTCAGTGTGGGTGGTAAAATAATTCTTTGCTTGCCTGTTTTCCGAAACAGATTGCAAGGATTACTTACCTCTCATTAATCTTTTTATCTTGTTTAGGATATCTGTATATTGGTTAGTTAACTTTTTTAAATTTCAGTTTTTTTGTGAGCTCGCAAGATTTCCCTTATTGTTTTTGTTTTCTTTTTCCATATGGTTCTGAAATATTGCTCCAGTCTATTTTGCTGTTAAAACTGATTCCTCATTGTTAAGAATTTTGTGCTGTTATCCATGACCTACTGATGATTTCAGAGGAGTAGTGATATCTGCTGTTTTCTATCTCTGTTACATTTGATTTTAGTATGTGATGTAGAAATTTTCTGTTGTATGTTATTTTTTAAAACAGTTATATGCATTCCTGTCTTTTGGAAGTTTAAATGTTTAACCATGGAATTATCTTCCTATTTTAAGTGTCAATATAATTTTTCTGTTAAAAATGTGTATTATTGGTTTTAATGTGAATTTCTTCTTATCGCGTCCACAGTCGTGATGTTTAGGTGCTGCATAGCAATTTGTAAGAATTAGGTGTTGCACAATAATATTGTGCCATGATTTTAACTTCGAATCTGTATGCGGTTGGTATTTCAAAAAGTCTATATCTGTTGTCTGTAAAGGCACAGGAGAAGAACTGTAAACTGCATTGTGCCCTTGAGTGTGTTGAATTTTAATGTTGTTGGAACTGATGCATTTATTGTCACACAATTTGTGTGTTGATCTTATGAACATATTAATATATATAGATCTATATAAATACATATATAAAAATATCTATCTACCTACATTAAGATTGGAATATATCATGTGAGAATGATATGAGTGGTGGTGGAGCTTTTCAAAGCTGCTGCCTTTGAACACACATTACAGCTCTCTTCCTCTGATCCTGCAAACATTTCTTCTCTAATCCTACAGTTACTTCTAAAGCTAAAACTCTACTCTTAATCATACTAAACTTATGTTTTATGATTCCTACCATTCCTCTTGCTTATGTGAGGTTTGATAAGTTATGACCTGTAAATGAATGCTTGTTTGCAAATATGTATGAGTGTATGAATTATGGGGACAGCATCTTGCTTGCATGGAATTTTGACCTTGTTTAAAATTCAGAAAAAGATTCCAGTACTGACAGTAGTTGACAGTTGTTCAAATGAAACAATCCTAAATATTTCTGTGGCGCTTAAAATTGGGACAAGGTAATGATTTTGTAATGACCACACTTACACTTGGTAAGCAGCAGAAAAAGACCTTTCGAAGGTATCTTATCTCCTTTTGCTCTGTGCTGCTTTGCCATTTTGGATTGCCATAAATCAAGCACAAAATTGTTATATTTTATGATATGATATGATTCTAATGTATTACCTTTTTACAATTTAGGCCTTCTTCAGAAAACTTTTCACAGTAGAAAGCAATTTTTGTTCTTGTTAATGTGTACACATTCTCAAGCTGGAAATCCCTTTGATTTGGTCAACCCCATTTGCATATTCTTTTAACTAATCAGCCTTGCTTGTTTCCTGGCTATGTATAAGTCCAGTCATTGATTGTAGTACGAACAATTCACCATATATCCTTATTCCAGAATTTCCGTTACTACATATTGTGATTTATGCATTTAGTAGCATTTACTAAAAAAAATTCTTAAGTAAGTTTAGTTGTGAACATTCACTATTATCTGCGGGTCTTACTTTTATAAACTTTAGTTAGATATTTCGACAGCTCTTTGGTTTGTTTCTGTGCTGATCTTGCCACTATAGATTTAAAGGGGGAGCAAACATCTATCCTTCTTTCATCCGCCCATGTGCAAGAACAGCATAATAGTTCTCTCTTTAATCTTGTGTACTGTATTCTAAATACTTGCTGCTGTGTTTTTTGTGAGCAGTGTCCCTTTTTCTTCCGTTTTATAGCTTTATCTATTATTGACAATTAAGTGCAACGACTCTCTGTTCCTACCTTTCCATCTTGAGTGGCAAATGCCATATAATGCTATGTTCTGACTGCACTCTCTTCGTAAGCATTACTGTGTTTGTTATATTTTTGTACGCATAGCCAGGTAATAAACTTATGTGGGTAAGCTGTCTGCTGTTACTAAGCATTGTGTTTGCACTCTCTCTTTTTTGATTTTTCTATTTGTGGCATCTTTGTTTGTAAATTTTTATAACAAAAATCAGAGCTCAATATTGTTGAAAATTTTGATTCAAAATGACATCACCATGACCAACTGTATTTTTTGGCTCTGTACATTAAGTTTTTTTTTCTATTATTATTTTCCTATGATATAGTTCTAGAGTCGAGAGCCTTCTTTTTCAGAGCGCCCTCTATTCTTAAATATATTTCATCCTATAGAACATTTTGTAATGAATGACAAGTGGATATTGGTCCTTTTTAAATTGTGCTTTGCTATGATGCCATTCTTTTTTTCCATAACAACGATTTACTAAACTCTGCCAACTTTTAAGTCAATATTGCATGAATACTTAATTTCTTTTGTTGGCTGATCATAAGATCTTGAGTGTTAAAGTCATTTAGATTGTGGGCATGCTGCTACTTGTTTATGAAGTCTGCTTAGTGCCATTTGAGGTGACTGAATTATCAATGCCATTTGTTGGGTTGATTGTTACAATATCTTAATTATCCTGGTATGGCAAGTGCACTTTACATTGGATGTTGTAAAGAGCTATTGATTCAATTAAATTTTTGTTAAGTGATTATGTACTAACTATAGTGTCTTAAGCCATATTTTCTCAAAATGAGTTGGTTCATTGAAATCAGTGTACTTGAATAAATGCAACTTTTGTTTTGCTAATATGATCATGCAAAGCAGAGCAACGATTTGGAATATTTTGGAAGTGCTTTTAAATGTCAAAAGAGTTGTGCATCATATCGAACTTTACACGCACACTAAAACATTTTGAATTTTAAGCTTTTGAGGTCATTTGTTATGGTTAAGGACGTTGAGTTCAAGTGGTCTTATTTTTGAACAAAATGTGTTGGACCAAAATGTGATAAGATTTTGTTCCATTTTCTTTGTCTTTTTTGTGTTTTCTTCCATTATTATTTCAAGATAAATGTGCAATATGTTAATTTATTTGTGTAAGTAACTGGTTAATTTTTATTTTGCTGCACATTAAATATTTCATATTTTCGTGCAAAAGAAAATGAAATGTTTCAATAAATGGTGATGTTACAAAGAGATTCAGGAACCTTCTATTCTACCCACTCTACTTTTTCCTTTGTTAACTGAACCATACTGTGTTCAGTCAGTAGCACACCTTTACATCCGCTCTAGATGTACAGCAACTGCTTGCAAAAACTTGCACGGAGTATTTCATAAGCGCTCCTGATATATACCTTTGTACACCCACCCCCGAGGGGGTAATCACTACAGAAAGTAGATGTACACATTTGTATAAAATTTAAAGTGAAAGTGAAAAAAATTGACTGAAAGTGAAACAAACGTGAAGGAAATGTGGGCAAAAGTGACAAATCGTGCGTTGATCAGATCAAAAATGAATAAAGTACAGTTGATATGAGCATAAAAAGGAAGTAAACGTTGTAAAACTTTAGGAAAGTGAAGGGAAAATTACGAAAAGTGATCGATAGTAGGAAAGTGAATAGTTAAGGTGTACGCATTTTCTCGCGTAGTGATTACCCCCTCGCCCACCCCACACCCACACTGCCCTCAACATCAACTAAGTATCATGCCAAGAAAAGAAGCTAGGAGGCAGTGAGATTGTGATTGTTACCCCTCGGTCTACCATGTCGGAGGCCAGAGTTGTACGCGACGTTGAAAGTAGTATATCCCAACGCAACCCACCCGTTCTCTTTCGAGACCTGAACAGTTATGCCGAGTTCTTGGACTCCTGTAAAAAAGAATTTGAGCAGCTGTGGAGGCGACAGTGTCCCATCGGTCACCTGGACGAGTGGGAGAGACTGCGGACCCTGGGCTCCGGTGCATTCGGCCGTGTTGTGCTGGTGCGCAACAAGCACAGCGGACAATACTTCGTCATGAAGGTGTTGGAGAAGGCGAAAGTCATCAGGCTCAAACAGGCGCAACACTTGAGAGATGAGCGACGCGCGCTTAACTACGTTAATTTCCCATTTATCGTATCATTAGTAACGTCGTTCAAAGATTTCAACTACATCTTCTTGGTGATGCCGTTCGTGCCAGGAGGAGAACTGTTCTCATATTTGAGACGAGTCGGCAAATTTGGGGAAGACCAAGCTCGGTTTTATGCCGCCCAAGTTGTCCTGTCGTTTGAATATTTACACAATGTGGACTTGATCTACCGTGATCTAAAGCCAGAAAATATTTTAATCGATGACAAAGGCTATCTGAAAATCGCCGATCTTGGATTTTGCAAAGTTGTGAAGGGCCGGACGTGGACACTGTGTGGGACACCAGAGTACTTGGCCCCCGAGCTTATTCTCAGCAAGGGCTACGGCAAATCGGCAGACTGGTGGTCCTTCGGCGTCCTCATTTACGAGATGACGGCTGGCTTCCCTCCGTTCTGCGGTAGCGAAACGCTCAAGACTTACGAGAAGATCGTGGCGGGGAAGTACCGCCCGGCACCGCACCACTCTGCAGACGTCAAGGACCTCATTGAAAAGCTTCTCCAGACCGACCTGTCCCGCAGGATCGGGATATTAAAGGACGGGGTGAACGATATCAAGAGGCACCCCTGGTTCAGACCGACCAACTGGCTGGCTGTTTTGAATAAGCAGGTTCGAGCCCCGTTCGTGCCTCAGTTTAAAAATATGGGAGACGCGAGCAACTACGATTTCTATGAAGAGGATGAACTAAAAACTGCCAGCTGCGACAAGTTTCCAAACGATTTTGTCGACTTCTGATGGAACTTACTCTTCCTGCAGTCGCGTCGGACTATTTGTTGCATTTGGATCTGACGTTAGGCGCGCGTTTCTTTTGAGAGCGCTCATATTTATCAGCTTTACCAACTGTGTGTGGCTACACTTTTTTCCAGAACTATTTTCCTGTTATTTCTGTAACATTTTACTGATTTCATTCCTACCAGTAACAATAATAATGAATTTAGTATCCAATTTAGACAGTTCATTTCGCATGACTGAATAAATACAAATTGTTCTTTTCGTGTGCGGTAAAGTGGCAGCCTGCGCTTGTTACTGTTACGTCATTTTGACGTCTGCGAGCATACGACAAGGAGGTAACTTAAGTCGATGAGAACGGACGATTTCATCTATTTGGTAGATCAGACCGTGATCATACTTGGATCTAATCGATCTTTTTTCTACTTGGCATAATATTGTGCGTTGGTTTTCTGGTGGCACAGCTCTAGCTTCGGTCAATACTTCGAACGATCTGTTGGGACTAACCTACCTGGAACTTCTCTGCTGCAACTCGTGTGCTTCTTTTCGTCCTTCCAAGGTGTGTGTTAATCACTGCTATTTCTCAGTTACAAGGTTGCCAAAGCCCTCTAAGGTCTTAGCCACTATTTCTGAACCTCCTTAGCGACGTCCTGTCGTCTGTCATTCCATTCTCTTCCCCCTTATTTCTGTGGCCTTGTCCTTGCTGGACCTTGCATCATCTTGATAACTATTAAGTAGTTTTTAAGGCAGTTAAACTTTAAACAATTCATCATCCTAGAATTTATTATTCAATTTCACTTTTAATTGATACCTCTTGTTTCTTAAAATTTAGAGTCACCTTTAACTTCTTCCAAGATGGTTCGTGAAAGGCCACCCATGACTTTTGAAGAGTACGAGATCAAAGAAACTTTTGTTGAAAAGTATACTCGCCGGATAAAAGAAAACCCATTCTTATCTTTGGGTAAGTGGTAGAAAACACATTGAAATTGCCATTTTAATACTTAAAGGAGTCTATTTACCATTAATATTTGTTCTTTTCCCTCAAGGACTGTTGGGTCTCAGTGGAATGCTGGTTGCAGGAGGTTTAAGATATAAAAAACTCCGTGCAGATGGTATGTCCCCTTCTATTTTTCTTATAAATCTTCGAGTTGCAGCACAAGGTATGGTTGCAGGGGCTCTGGCTTTGGGACTTGTTGCTCAAGCAATTAGTGAAAATACCGAGCCAAAAGATAAAAGTACCACTCAGTCATGACCAAAACGTGCATAGTTAATTTGTATTTATTTAATGCCTCTAGATTCAAATTTTATTCTAATGCAACAGATCAAGGAGTAAACTGTTTCAGAGAATAATTTTTTCATTGTTAAGTCGTCTAGTTAACTACCATTAGCACTACCCAGCAAAAATTTTCATCTACACCAATGTTTATTTGAATTTCTCCTTATTGGTATTCACCTGAGTATAAACCCCTCTGGAAATAAGAATCACCCTCTTTTAGTTTTTCCCAAAGGGCCCAAACATTTAAAAAGACTTAGTTTGGTGGGATAGCTTAAGCCCCCTTTGCTCTGCAGGCAAATGTTTGCGTTAAAAAAGGGCGCCTCAAACTCAGGTGAAAACGGTACATTTTATTTCTAAGAACTTCTTTATCATGAGAGGAAGATGCTCTTCTTTAGTCATGACATGAATTTTCTACACTCCTGTCATCTGATACTCAGATTTGAATGTGTGTGCTTAAGTCATTAACTGTGATGGTTTTCAGTTCATGTTCAGAAATACTCAAGTAAGGAAACAATGCTTTAATATTGTAGCACAAAAGTCATTGTTTTATTTCCATAAATATTTTTAAAATTGATTTTATTGCATGTAAAAGTGAGTTATTTTTCAACTTATCCGTTGCTGCTGTTTAATTTTATGACTGTGATAGTCCTGATTTCAACCTGTATCCTTTTGAGTTCCGTTTGTGTATGTTTGAAGTCTTTGAACAGTGTTGAACTCATCATGCTGTTCCGCAATAAACAGCTTTTGAGCGTTTTTTAAACCATCTGCTCATAAGGTGAATTATTTAGTAAAGTTAACAAGTGGTTGTATTGACTTCATTTATTTCTTTTTGTACATTCAAGGTTTAAACAGAACACCACCATAACCAACCAACAAAACTATTATTTTACAGAAGAATGTTCCATTTGGCTAAGATGGCAGGACCATCCAATGAGTAGTAAAGGATAGGTAACATAAGATTCATCTGAGACAACCTAAAGTTACCCATACTTAGAAGAATGTATAATTTCTTTGAAATTTCCTAGTTTTTTCCAACTGCTGTATCTTAGAATGATTCCTAACACAGTTCTTGTATATAAGCAGTTTTTTTGATATAAATACAGCACTATTCAGTTTTGGTTTTTATCACAGAAAATCAGTAAATACTTATGCCAGTAAAATTGTTTCGGAAATAGGAAAAGGTTAAAAATTGAATCACCTCTAGATTTAAATTTGGCTCCTCAATAGGCTGTGAATTTAGACCACCTACTCCACGATAAATATTGGAATGTGTAAGTTTGAATACTTCCTAAATTTCTATTTTACAATTTAAAAAAAAAAAAAAAAGATGTTACACCACACTGATATGACTATGTTCTTATGTTTAAGACTGGGCCTATATTGGCATGTTGTCTTCTAAAATACTGGAAGGAAATGAACACAATACGAATGAGGTGAAAATGTCTGCAAAGATTATTGTCGAAATACTGTGTGCAACCATTAGCATAGTATGGTTGTAGTTAGACTTAGTTACAGTAAAAAGAGAAACACAATTGTGGCACCACAGCAATATAAATTCAATGACTGACTTCGGGCCATTCTGGTGGTCCTCATGGCATGCAAAATATGTACCAGTTCAGTCTGATCCAAGGAAGATCGAAAGCTTAAGTGAGAAGGTCTACAATTCATCACGGAAAGCCCGTAGGATATTGATCCTGTGGCCCATATCAGTCTTCTTCTCATTTGATAATTTTCCAGTCATGAGTTTGTTGAGACGTTTCATTTCATCATCCACAAATCCTGCACCTTTGTCTAGCATTCTCTGCATCATCTTCACATACACCTCTCCAGTTTTCCTGTCTTCAATTTTTTCAATGCGCCCAACTAGTCCCTGAGCTTCTCGCAGAAGTTCCTTCCTGGATAAAACATTTAAAAATATTTATAAAAACATTTATGACAGCCGAGACCCTTAAATATTCTGAGGATATAAAAGTTGATGAGTTCACCTTTCACTTTCGTCAGAAGCAGCATTAAATTTGATGGCTATCTTGTCAAATGCTTCAAGGCAACCCGGCAGACCAATGTACTTTCCAGAGTTAGCTCTAATAAACTGGATCAAATTATCAGATGTAAATCCCTCATCTGTGGTCTCCTTGAAATCTATCGGTTCTTTACCTAAAAAGTTTGGTCAAAGTAAGAACATTATTTTCCATAAACTCACTGGCTAGCATGTGTGCAATGTTTTTAAAGTACAATGCCTACCCTGAACAAATAATTTAACGACAGGGTACTGTTCCTTGTCAATTTTAAAGCGATCTGCAAGGTCAGAGTTTTCTTTGTCACCATAGTCTTTAATGCCAACTTCAGCGACTAAAACATCAGGAGCGGATTTGGCTGATTCAGCCATTTTATTAAAAGCATCATGCTTTGGTCCATACGGATAGGCAACATCAAATTTTACTATGGAGACTGGAAACTTCCCTGTCACCTGAAAAGTTACAAAAGTTAACATGATTTAAAGGTTCAAAAACTGTTGATGTAATTTCAAATGTTTCATTCATATTTCATTCAAACTTAAAACATTAAACTGGATGTGACAGAATGTTTGTTGGGAGAGACCTCTTTATAGTGCTAATTAAAATGGGTTTGTTTCCGGTAACATTATCGCAATTTGATATTTAACTTTTTCGGCACGAATGTTAAATAGTCATTTATTGGAGCGATACAAAACCAGTATTTAACTTTGTCACCGGCTGCAAAGGTTAGAAGCGTTGGCTTCTCCCCATTGGCCCACGTCACAGGATCCACCAATGGGAGGCTGCCGTACTGTGGAGCCGGTTAGAAGGAAAATATTTACCTTGTCATAAGTCCATGAATCCAGAGCAACTGTCCCTAAGGCTGATACATCTGTGTACGAAAACGTGGTAACTAAAAGGAGGGTAAAAATATGTATCATTTTCACCCCGCAAATGTAACAGAGCACGGACTAGGGCGCCGGTGGTTCTCGTCTGCTAAAGCGTCTGCTAGCGTCTGTTTCTGGATGGTTCACTGAACACGCCAAGCTCCGCATAGCCACGGCTCGGCTCGGTGAGTAGCGGTGGGAGGACGGAAAAAGGAGGGGGGGGGGGGGAGAAAGATAGCAGTCTACATGGCCCAAACATTTAAAAATACTTAGTTTGGTGGGATAGCTTAAGCCCCCCTTGCTCTGCAGGCAAATGTTTGTGTTAAAAAAGGGCGCCTCAAACTCAGGTGAAAACGGTACATTTTATTTCTAAGAACTTCTTTATCATGAGAGGAAGATGCTCTTCTTTAGTCATG